GCTTACTGGTTTCCCGTTCTCCTCTCCTCCCCTCCTGTCCTTGGTGCTGGGGTGGGGCTGGCTGACCTCTGCTTCCTCTCCCCAGGGAAAGGTGATCTGATTGGCTGTGAGCTGCCCCGGCGGGAGCAGGTGGTGAAGGCCAATGCCGACGTGAAGGGCCTCACTTACTGTGTCCTACAATGCCTGCAGCTGGCGGGGCTGCACGAGAGTCTTGCACTGTACCCAGAGTTTGCCCCACGCTTCAGCCGTGGCCTCCGTGGAGAGCTCAGCTACAATCTGGGTGCTGGTGGAGGCCATGCAGAGGTGAGGGGTAAGAAGGGGTGGGTGGGCAGGGAGGCTGGGGCTTATAGGGGCTCAGTGAGGGCATGGAAAAATCCCCACTGGACAAATGGGGCTACTCTCTCCCTGCCTTTTCACTCCATGTCTTTTAAAGCCCCAGCCCAGCTGTGCTCAGCCACCCTGCATGCCTTGACTCATTTGAGATTGGCTGCCTCTGTCCAAAATGAGGGGTAGGGAAGCAAAGTCCACTGGTGACAGAAAACAAGCCCCAGAGGCCACAGAGATGCGGCACTGAAGACAGGCCAGTGGCTTCCCCACTCCTTCAGGGTGAAACAGGACCATTTGGGGTGGCTTTTACAAGTTCTGGGATTTTGGGGGAGCTCTGGTGGCCTAGTGGCAAGGAGCTGCAACTACAATCCCAGAGGCACACGGTTCGAATCCACCAGATGCTCTTCCAGGAAAAGGAGGGACAATCTCCTCCTGTACCAGTCAGATCTGATTTGATGGTACACTCACACAAAAAACAAGTTCTGGGATTTTATCCCTAATTTCAACTAGTGTTCAAGTAGTTTTCTCCTGGAAAATAGAGTCAGCATGTTGTTGTTATGTGCTGTCTAGTCATTTGTGACTCATAGAGACCCTGTGTACAACAGCCCTAAACCCTGCTCTATCCTGTGCCAATCGCACTGCCTCTGACTCACACATCCCGATTACCCCAGTCACTGAATCAATCTATCTCATAGTGTCTTCCCCTCTTGCGCTGTCCCTCCACCCTCCCAAGCATGATGTCCCTCTCCAAGGACCTGTCCCTCCTTGCAACATGCCCAAAGTATGTCAGACGAAGCCCCAGAATCCTTGCCTCCAAGGAGTAGCTTGGTTTAATCCTCTCCAGGATGAATCTGTTTTTCTTGGCAGTCCATGGTACATTCAATACTCTTCTCCAGCACCACAGCTCAAAGGCGTCAATTCTCCTTCTATCCTCCCTAGTCATTGTCCAACTCTCTGATGCATAACAAGTGATTGCAAAGACCACAGCCTGTATCAGCGCACCTTAGTCTCCAGAGAGACACCGTTGCTCTTGAGTACTTTAGAGAGGTCCCTAACAGCAGACTTTCCCATCGCAATACGTTTTTTGATTTCCTGACTGTTGGTGCGAAGAGTGTTGACCGTGGAGCCGAGCAAACTGAAGCTGTGAACAACCTCAATCTCTTTGCCATCCATCCTGATGCTACCAATTGGTCCAGCGGTGAGAATCTTTGTCTTTGTCTTTTTGGCATTGAGCCTCAGTCCATACTGAAGGCTGCATAAGGGACCAAAAAAGCGGAAAAGTGTGCCCGAATGAACCAATAATTATAAAAGAATGGAAACATCTTTAAAAAATATTTTAAAAATCCCACAATAGCATATTTTCCCCATCAAATAACGTTTTAAAATTTGTGCCACAATAGTATATTATCCCATAAATTTGTCATCACAACATTTACATGTTTTATACCAACTTATAACCATATTTTCATCTATCATAAGATAGTCTGAACTAAGTAAACGCTTCTCATCCTCCAAATTAAAAAAAAACTAGTTTATTTCATAATGAAAAACCATTTGAAAAAAGTTAATTTCTTCTTGATTAAAAAAGAAGGCTGGTGTATCCTCATTGGCTAGGCTTCTGAGGGACAGTGAACTTCTCCAGGGCTTGGCAACTTTGAGGGAAGGCAAGTCAAAGTCCACTCTAGGACAGCAGAGAAGCAGCCCACCCCTCCTGACAGGGCCTCACCTTTGGCAGAGTGGCAGACCCTGGGCATCATCCCTGCTAGGGGAGGTGAGTGGGCAGCCAGGGCTGACTACCTGTCCTCACTGCCCCCAGGCAGACACCAGCTCTCTTAGCGGCGACAACACCCTCATGTCCACACTGGAGGAAAAGGAGACGGATGGGGAACAGGGCCCTGCGGCCTCCCCAGCCACAGCTGATGAGCCTTCCAGTCCCCTGTTGTCACCTGGCTGTACCTCTTCATCCTCAGCTGCCAAGCTGCTATCACCGCGGCGAGCTGCACCCCGGCCCCGGCTAGGGGGTAGAGGGCGGCCAGCCAGGGCAGCAGTGTCAAAGGTTGAGGTGGGCCCCGCTGCTCACCCACGGACCTTAGAGGGGCTGCGCTTACCCCCCATGCCATGGAATGTACCCCCAGATCTGAGCCCCAGGTAAGTGGTGGGCATAGGGTGGGCCAGGCTTTCCCACATTCTAGGTCCCCATCCTCTCAGTTTAAACCCAGCCAGCCTGTCTGGTTCAAGCCTGCCTCCCTCAGGAAGCCTTTCTTGCCTCATCCATTCTCCTCATTGCCCTCGCCCGGCACAGTGCTCTGGATCCTCGTGCTGCTTCATGGTGCTCAGGCTGGGCTCCCTGGCCAAAGTGCCTGCTCCTCGGGGAAGGGAAAACATGCTGCCTTTCTCTCAGGGCCCCAGGATCCTGTTCTTTGCAACACCACAGTGACTGCTGTTGACTAATTTATTGTCCTGGTGCCTGGATCTGCAGGGTGGTAGATGGCATCGAGGATGGCTGTGGCTCTGATCAGGCCAAGTTTTCCTTCTGCGTGGGACAGTCTGGCCGGGAATGTAGCAGCAGCCCCTCCCCTGGACCAGGTAGGGCCCAGGAGCAGGCAGGGCAGTGGGGAACACATTGTCCCTATTGACCTTGAAAACTGTTGGCCTGTGGAGGCAGTGGATACAATTATCCAGTCTCTCAACCCTCACTCACCTCTGGCCCATTGTGGGCATTTGGTGGTTTAAGGTGAGGCCTTGAGCATCAATCAGAAATACCAGGTGGCTGAGTTTGGATCTGTATACAGCTTTGTAACAAGTGTGACCTTGGCTTCTCTGAGTCCCAGTTTCTTGTGTATGAAATGAGTGGTTGTGCACAGAAATGAAAATAATGTAGCTAAAACATAGCGGTGTCTGGGTCACTGAGAGGATGAGTGGGAGGAACTGAAGGGCTTGAAAACTATACAAAAGGGTGCCAGGTTGGGTCATCTGACAGGTGGGCAGAGTATGAGCTCCTAGGAATGACCATTGCCTTGGAGGACAGAGCACGAGACAAATACAGAGAGCAGCTCCTGAGGGTGTAGGGAGCACTGGGTGGTGGAACAAAGCTGGTGGGTGGTGTCTTCTCTGGCCCTTGAGGTTTGGGCAAAATTCAGTACTTGCTTGAAGCCAGTTGTTACTAGGTAATGAGATAACAGGACAAAAGCCCAGGCCTTCACACTACTAACTCTTTTCCACTGCCCACAGAGAATGGTCTACTCACTGTCCCTCTTGGGCCCAGTGAGACAAGGAACACAGACACACTGGACAAGCTTCGGCAGGCGGTGGGTGAGGGACAAAATGAAGCTGGAGTGGAGGAGGGGGCAGCCCCCACTGTTGGATGAGGATGCTCACTCCACTCTGCCTGTCCTGCTGCAGGTGACAGAGCTGTCGGACCAGGTGCTGCAGATGCGGGAGGGCCTGCAGTCACTCCGTCAGGCTGTGCAGCTGGTCCTGGCACCCCACGGGGAGGGGCTGTACCCAGCAAGCTCTTCTGGGCTCCTGCAGCCTTTATGTGTGGACACTGGGGCATCTGCCTACTGCCTGCAACCTCCAGCTGGCTCTGTCTTAAGTGGAACCTGGCCCCACCCTCGCCCAGGGCCCCCTCCCCTCATAGCACCCTGGCCCTGGGGTCCCCCAGCTTCTCAGAGCTCTCCCTGGCCTCGAGCCTCAGCTTTTTGGACCTCGACCTCAGACTCAGAGCCTCCTGGCTCAGAACTTTGTCCTGAGCCCAGCACTCCTGCCTCACCTCCCTCTTCTGAGGAGGGGGCGAGGACTGAGCCCCCAGAGCCTGTGAGCCAGGCTGAGGCCACCAGCACTGGAGAACCCCCACCAGGGCCAGGAGGCCTAGCCTTGCCTTGGGACCCCCATAACCTGGAGATGGTGCTTATTGGCTGCCACGGCTCTGGCACAGTTCAGTGGACCCAAGAAGAAGGAACCGGGGTCTGACAGTAGCCTCAGAACTCAGTGTTTCCAGACATGCTGCCATCTGCTGCTCTGCCCAACCTCAGGGTGGAGGAAGGGGCAGCAGCCACCCTTGACTGTGTGCTGCCCATTGGCTCAGGACAGGGACCAGGAGCCTCAGCAAAGGATGGGCTGGAGCCTCAGGAGCAGGCCCGAGGGCTAGCAATTTAAGGGCTCTACACCTGGGGTCCTTCTCAGCCTGTTCCCAACCTCCTCCTTTCCTCTGCAGGCTGGGGGCTGGGATCTGAGGCAAAGGAGGGGTTGTACCAACTTCTGCATGTGCCCCTGCTCTACACCTGTCCTCTTATTTTTTATATTAAAAAAAGAATAAAAGAAACTATCTTTGGAACTCAGTGCATTTTATTTACAAAAGAAAAACAAAAGTCTGAAGCTAATCAGCTTAGCACACAGAAATGAAGGTAGAAATCTTGGGGGAAGAGTAGGGTGGTCTGCAGAAGAGGGAGGGGTTTGGCTCCAGGGAAGCTGGAAGGTCCCAGCCTCTACCTGGCTTCCCAATGGCCAGCCCTACCCTTCCTAACAGGCTAAACCACACACACCAGCAATGGGATTTTCCTACTGCCCACTCTGGGCAGAAGGCTTTCCCAGGAGCCCAAGCTCCCCGCTAAGGAGGGCAGGAATGGAAGAAGATACCAAGACCAGAGGGCCCAGGAGTCCACCACCATCCCTCACTGTGGTGTGATCTTGGCAGCCTCAGCCCGGATGAGGGCAATGAGGTCCTGGTTGATGAGGAAGACAAATCGTAGACTGGCAATCTGTAGGTGTGAGGAGGCCAGCTCAGGATGGAGCTGGGGGCAGGGGACCAGACTACCCCCAGTCTCATTCCTGAAGTTACACTCCCTCCCACTGCTCACCTCCACCACAGAGTTGTTGCTGAGGCGCCATTTGGAGCCACACAGCACAGGCCGTCCATCGATGTAGATGGGCCGCCGGCCCTCATTGGCAATGAAAAAATCACCGTTGTTTTTCAGTTTAATCACACCTAGGGAAGTACAGGAGAAAAGGGGGTTGTTAGGGGAAGCCCAGAGAGAACCAGGGCCTCCACATACCAGATCAGCTTCTGGAGCAGTTTCATGGGGACAGGCAGAGCTTAGCAGGGCAGCACCTTGCTTCCGGGAGATCTTCCAGGCTGGCCCCTCCAGAGACAGGTCCACGTCAATCTGGTTATCCTTGGTCGCTCTGCCCAGGGTGATCTGGGAAAACAAAGCAGGTAAAGGCTCAGGTCTTAGGAATGAGATCAGGGGTTCGTTCATGCAGGCTAGGGAATGAGAAAGAGATGGCATGAGACCCAGAAAAGGGAGAGGACGAGAAGACTGCTGACTGCCTGCCTCACCTCTCGGGAGCGCATCAGGTACCGCACCATGCGGCCCCGCAGCACTGCCAGCGTCTGGTTGTCGAAGTCTGGAGAGCTCATGCCTGGGAGAAGAGCAGGGTTAAGAGCGAGCCTACCTGGAGGATAGGGTGGGAGGTGGGATCCAAAGTCCACAGATGGACGGGCTAAAGGGAGATGATGGCTGGTCCCTGAGTTACTCACCTGTGATGCTGTCTACCAGAACCTGCCACTTATGCAGTTCCTGCTCCAGCTGCCGAATCTCTCGCTTCTGGCGCCGGTCAGCCACTGTCAGCTCTGGAGTGAGGTGGGTGGGTGGTCAGGAGAGACACTCCAAGGTCACCAGTGTCTTGCGCTGGTTTTCTATGCCTTGCAGGCACTTCTATCCCCTTGCTATCCCCCCTCCAGGATACACTCACCATGTTCCAGGACCTCGTCTCTCATATCCCTGAGGAACAAGAAGGCAGTCAAGAAAGGACAGATTATGCTCCACTTCCAGCTCAGCTGCCATCATTACTTGGACACTACTTGGCTCATTAGGGTACCCCTATGTTCTTTAGGTCAAGTGACCTAGAAGGGGGTTCCTCGAGCTTTGGCCTGGCCTTCTCCCTGGGGTCATATGTGGGATAAGAGAAAAGAGACTAACAGGGAGGTCCCAGTATTAATGGGGAGGATTCAACAGGTGGCTAAGTATCAACAGCTGTGACTGGGTCAAAGGCTCGGTCAGAGGCTGGATCAGTTCCTAGTAGCATCCAAGACATGGAATGGTGGGATGGGCAGCCCAGGAAGCTTTACCCTGGGACAAGCACAGTTCCCCTCCACCTCCGCCTGCGGCTCCAGATACTCACTTGAGTTTACTGTCATCTATCAGATCTTCTGCGTCGGAGAAGTTCAGTACTTGGTCCCCCTTGGGCAGTGGCTGCACTGGACAAAGGACAGAGAAAGGATCAGCACCAAGTTGTCTACTTAATTCTGAGTTGTTGAGTAAACAATGCAGGCACAGGCAGTCAAAACTGAGCAGACATGAAGAGTTTAGTGCTGAAATCAACACATGTTAACCTAACACCCTATCAGATTACACCACAATGCGGCAGACAGCATTCTTGTAATGTAATGAGGGCAGAATTGTTTCTAGAAAGGAAAGCAGAAAATTTGTGTGGCTATTCAACATACAAAAGGGCTTTCATTTATTAAGTAGGACTAGCAGCAGATCCACTTCATAGATGAGGAAAGAGATACAAGAAAGTTATAAATTATTTGACCCTAGTTTGTGACAAGACAGTATGCAAGTCCTGCTTTCCTGGTTCTACATCCAAAAAAATGCTCCTTCCACATCGGATGCTCGCAAAGAAGATGCTCTTCTTTTACAGTCAGTGAGGGGCTGAAAGGCATGTGTAGTCAAGTACTGATTAGAAAACTATAGCCCCTTAGGGAACTACTTCACCTCAAGTCAGTGTTTCTCATGATTCATTAGTGGGTCATAAAATTAATCTTACTTTTAGAAAAGTAAAATGGAATCTCAGAGTTCAAGAACTATGCTCAGAATAATTATTTTTCATGAAGGATTTTTCCTCTACTAATTAACACTGCAGAGGGTATTGGGATAAAATATAAAATAAAAAACCTAAACCTGTTGTTTCCAGAACATTTGATTGGCAGGATTGCAGGCAGCTGTGGGAGGTCAGAGGGTCAGTCCCCTCACCCACATCTCCCCATGAAGTCTGACTTCTTTTTGTTGTTAGCTGCCATCGAGTCAAGTACAACTCAAAGTGACCCTATTAACACCTGGCCTGAGCCCTGTCCTATCCTGTGCCACCTTCATCACTTCTGACACGAGAGCCCATTTGTGAAGTTATCATGTCAATTCATCTCATTGGAGGTGACTCCATCTTTCTAATCATGATGTCCCTTTCAAAGGAAGAGCCTCGCCTAGCTACATGTCCAAAGTATAGTGACAAAGTCTGACCTAGAGGTGAGTGAAAGGAGCTCTTTAGACCCGCTCCATTTACTGGCAGGCAGTGATGACACCTCAGGTGCTTTCACATTCCTCAGAGGGAATTTCACGGCCTTTAGCTGGTGAGGCTGATAAACAGCAGACAATACAAGGCCATGTGGCAGGGAACAACAGGGTTTAAACACTATGAAGAGGAAGGTTTTCACTGAATAGTGAGAGAAAACTATATGGAAGGTAATATGCAGCAATATCCAGAAAGCAAAGTAACATTAAGTATGCCTGCACTGTGAAATTCTGAGCATAAATCACAAACCCAATTAGGAGAATCTTGCTGCTGTTTAACAGCTTTCCTAGTACTTGTCATTAGGAGAGCAAGGGTTTTGTGGAGGAACAAAGGAAACAGAGGCTGTTGGCCCTGAGGAATGGAAAAGACAGAGGCCCAGGTGTGAAGTCTCAGAGGTGCTTCCTATGCTGGGTGGGAGGAAGACAGAGAGGTTGAGAGAGGCTCAGGAAAAGTGGTTAGTATCTCAGGGAGGAATATAAAGGAAAGGGTGGGCAGTAAAGGGGACTTTCACTTTCTACTCATGCTTGAATGTTACTGATAGCAAATAAGTTGTTAGGGTGCGATAAAGTCAACTCAACTTGCCTGATTCCACAACATCATCATCTCTGCTCTGCTTAAGCCCACTGCTGTAGTCACTGTATCAATCTATCTTGTTGGGGGTCTTCCTTTTTAACTGATCCTCCACCTTTCCAATCATTATGTCCTTTTCCAAGGACTCTTCCTCCTGACAACATCCAATGTGTGTGAAACAAAGTCTTACTATCTTAGCTTCTAAGGAGTAATCTGGTTGTATTTCTTCCGAGATTGATTTGTTCTTTTGACAGTTGAGAGGGTGAATAGTCCATTTGCTATTCTTTACTAATACTACAATTTAAAGGCATCAATTCTTTAGTCTTCCTTATTCACTGCTCAACTTTAACATGCATATGAAGGAATTGCAAATATTATAGCTTGGGTCAGGTGCACCTTAGTCTTTAAACTAACAGCTTTGCTCTTTAGTACTTAAAAGAGGTCCTGGGTAATAGATATGCCTTAATGCAATGTATTGACTGCTACCTCCTTGAGTGTTGATCCAAACAAAATCTCTGACAATTTCAATCTTTTCTCCACTTATCGATGTCTGTTGAGTCTAATTTTTGAGATTTTTATGTTGTGGTATGCCTTTGAGCTGTGGTGCTGGAGAAGAGTATTGAGAATACCATGGACTGCTAGGAAAACAAACAGATCTGTCCTGGAGAGGGTTAAACCGGGTGGCTCCTTGGAGGCAAGGATTCTGAGGCTCCGTCTAACATACTTTGGACATGTTGTGAGGAGAGACCAGTCCTTAGAGAGGGACATCATGCTTGGGAGGGTGGAGGGACGGTGCAGGAGAGGAAGGCCCTCTATGAAGTGGATTGACTCAGTGACTGGGATAATTGGGATGGGAGTGTCAGAGACAGTGCGATTGGCACAGGACAGAGCGGAGTTTAGGGCTGTTGTACATAGGGTCGCTATGAGTTGCAGGCGACTCGACGGCACATAACAACAACAACAACAACAACATAATCCTTACTGAGGGCTCTAATTTTTTAACTTCCTCAGTATTTAAAATCCTCTTCACTTTCAGCAAGCAAGGTCACACTATTTGAATAACACAGAGTGCTGACAAGTCTTCCTTCTATGCAGATCCTACATTCATCATATAATCTCCCTTCTCAGATTATTTGCTCAGCAGGACACTGAATAGATACAGTGAAAGGATACAGTCCTGATTATAAACAATTCAGTATCCCTTTATTCTGTTCAAACTACTCCTTAGTCTAGAAAAAGTTCTAACTGGATACAATTAAGTGTTCTGGAATTTCCATTCTTCTTAATGTTATCCATAGTATATTAAGATCCACACAGGTGAATGTCTTTGCATAGTCAATAAAATACAAGCAATTATCTTTCAGGTATTCTCTGATTTAAGCCAAAATTCATCTGATATCAACAATGTTATCCTATGTCCCAGGGCCTCTTCTGAAACCAGTGCTGATATCACATGTAAAAGACAAGATGTACTGACTATACAAAGGCATTTAATTATTTTTTACTGATGGAAACTATAGTAGTATAGTATAGTAGTATTTCTGTAATGATAAAGTATGGGGATATATGTGTGTGTGTGAATCTCAAAAGAAGTTGTAGACAATTGTACTATTTGGGCTTTTTTTTGGGGGGCTTTTTTTGTTGGAATTAATTTTTGTTGGAATGTGACGTCAACAAAACTGGGGTTACACAGGGATTTATTACAGAGGCTGTGGGAAGGTGTCCCCAAACTACTTTTTAAGTACACCCACACAAACATACAGACCAATTCTGTCAGCTCCTGTGACGATTACCTGTTTGGTCCTCCAGCAAGTAATACTGCTTCATAAGCTGCCAGTGGGCTTGCAGAGCCTTGGCAGTCCGGGCCAGGTAGAAGGCATCAGGGTGTCTGTGTAGAAGGTCCTGGAAGGTCTCCAAGGTGGGTTGGCTGGTCTAGAGGGCAAAACAACAAGCTTCAAGGTGTCCTGGTTTTCTTATTTCCATCCCTGCTTCACCCACTGGCCAACTCTGATTCTCAACAAGAGCCAGAAGCAGGAATAGCCCCTAGGGAACTAACTAGGTTTGGCTCTTCCCAAGAGCAGTTTCCAGTCTACTAATACAAGGGGATTCCCCACATAAATAGTTTTCCAGGTGATCAATTCTAATCCAGTTCTTTGCCTTACCGATCCCACTTTACTTAGCAATTGTTCCTCAGTCTTGCTGAAGAGGGCTTTGCTTTGTATGGCTGCAATGGCTTCAGGGTGCAGCTGCCTCATGGCCTGGCAAGCCAGTCTGGGCAGAAGAAGAGATAAGAGTGAGCTCAGAGCAAGATAGAGAGGGTCAAATAACCTGAGAGTCCTTATTTCCACCAATGTTAAAGGCTTTTGGGATCAAGGACCTCAGCAGAAATAGTCCAAGACAACGTACCAACTCTGGCTCATGGGGTTATCTCACAAATGAACTTGTAATTCATGAAACCTAGCTCTGATGCTCAACCTAGTGAAGGAGATTCAAAGGCACAGACCCTGGAGGTCTAGTCCTGGGGTAGATCTTGATACCAGTTGCTGGTTGCTCCTCAAATACATCCTTCTAACGTGGCCAAAGCTGCCACCCGCCTATCAGCTCCCATTTTCTCAAGTTGTGTGCTACCCATTTCCTGGTGTAACAAAGATAAGCAGCAGCAGGAGCTACGGAGGATAGCAAGATGGGTGTTAAGCATCCCTCTGAAGTCTGCAAACATTAAACTAAGTGATTGAGGAGGAGAAAGAGTTTGTGTTATGTGTGCATATGTGTGCATGCTCATGTGCATGACTCTATTTGGAACCCTGGGTGGTGGAACTGGAAAGTGCCTTGTGTTCTTCTGGTCCAATTTCCTAAACTTAAAGAAGAAAAACTGTAGGAGGTCAACACTGAAACGTTTGGAGGAGACCTCCCCCAAGGTGCACTGCGCACTGGTGGGGCCGGGGCTCCTGGTGCTTATAATGACGTTTTCTCCATTCTATCACTTCCACATATAGTCATTCCTAGATTCTGGCACCATGCCAGGATTAGCAGGTAGAGTCAAGAAAGAGCGTCTCTCTGAAGTCTGACAAGTCTCAGAATCACTCCAGGAAATGCAAGGCCCCAGGAGCTCTCCTCCTAGGCCTTTTCTTTGGGTCCTTAAATGAGTCTATCTCTTTCTAAGCTGAATGCTAGGGTCTCCAGTACCTCCCAGTGTTGCAGACAGCTTCACTCACTTGGAGATGACCGGATCGTAGAGCAGGGCGTACCAGCGCTCCTGGACTTCCCGAAGAGTAAAGCGGCAGCTGAACTTCACACCCAGATGGACAGAAGTCAGGTCATTGGTCTGTAAGGTCCCAGAGGGGTTTGCTCCAGTCTTAGAGCTGAGAAGACCCCTTCCTACCTCAAGAGACCCCCTTAGCTAGTTTGGGGGCTGCTAACTAGAGACTGGAAAAGGAGAGTTGAAGTACTACCTGTAACACAGCGTTGATGAGCAGGAGGTCATCTGCAGGCTTCCAGCGGCCAAGATCCTTGGTTACCTGAAGTGGCTGTTTGCTCTTTTTCACACGTTTGGTGAGTCCAGGTGCAGGAGCTGGACTGGGAGGCACAGGAGTGCTAGGGGCCTTGGATACCTGGACAGAAGGCAGGTGTGAAGTGAGCAAAAAGCCAGCATCAAAATGAGTTAAGTTCCTAGCTTGAGTCTTACGTAGTCTAGGGCAACCCCATCTCTATTCAACAATGGGAAATGCAGAGAGAAGCTCAGCTTGCAGCCTTCCAATATCCCCACAAATTATTCTGCAGAGTACTTGACCATATGGGGTCTTCTCAGCTGATGGCACACCCAACCCCAGAGTGGGGAGTAGAAGAGGGGATGTCAGGAAAACACTCTTGCTGCTATAGTGTCTGGGGCCAGAGCAATGCCACCTGGGGGTTATTTTTAAATCAGCCAAGCTGGGAACAGACTGCTCGTTCCCAGAATAGATGCATGCTCCATGCCTCCCACATGGAATATGATAAAGGATGCACTTGTGGGTGGGGCGGGGTGGAGGGTACAGCTAGAAAGGAGGAGTAGAAAGGAGTAAGTTCCCATTTGGAGGCATCTGAGGCTGGGGCTAGAGCAGCCTAGACTTGTCACAAGTCTCTTCTGTAGATTTTTACCAACTGGCAAAGGTTCTGAGAAAACATAAAATTTAAGGTTTCCCTTCAGCCCTCCAGCCCCCAACCCCTTACCTTCTTCTTCTCACTAGAAGAAGGTTCACTCCCTGAACAGCGGCCAGGTTCCACCCCACTGGCTCCCTTTGCTCGGGTAGAGGACTTGGCTAGGCTGCTCTCCACAAGCTCATCATCAAATTTCTTCCTCTTGATGAACCTGGGGAGGATCCTGTCCAGTGAGCATTCTCTCTATACTCTCCAAGTCTCCACCCACACACCTCAAAGCCAGGCTTAACAGAGCATGAAACTGCCTGCTCCACTCCTGAGCCACCATAGTACTGCACCACAAAGGTTTTCATGTCAGTGGTTTAAGATGCGCCTCCCCCACAGGGAGAATCTGGGAAACTGCAAGAATTTGCCAGTATTTAAGTCCTAGAGGGAAAGTTAGCTATGTCCTATAGGGATAAAGGCAGGCAATACCTAATTCTACATATTGTCCCATCCCCAGTCCCTGCCCTCGGAGCCCTTACTACCTGGAGGAGCTTCGTCGTTTAGGGATGGTGCCCAAGGCCTGGGAGGAGGCTCGCTTCTGCCCCGCCAGAG